AGCACCCCAAAACCAACTCCACGCTGCCCTGACGGCATGTGCCTTTGGGCTGGCTACAGCCACCGTCCGCTGCTGGGCTTCGCAGAGGACAAACTGGCATCGGTATCGCAGGACCGTGCTGCAAGAAGTCCCCTAGGTACAAAAGCACTCATCCAGAGTACTATTAATTATGCCTGCTCAGCTGGCCAGGACAAAACATTATTTTCTGTTAGACCAATAGGGACACGCTGTGCACACAAGGGACCCTTCCTGATTTTCAGGAACTCTTGATCACTCTGTGTGAACGCATGGCCTTGGCTGCTCAGAGAGGGGTGCGGCCAGGGAGGGCAGGAGGCAAGAGCACAGGATGGGAAAAGCATTTGAAGAGAGCAGTTACATCTACTTTTTTCTGTCTTGGGTTGGATGGCAGGAATTTTTCACCAGAGAAATTATTTCTCAAGCCTCCAGATGCATTCAAAATAAAGAACAATGGGCCACATGATAAGCCTTCTGCAGCTTTCCCCACAAAAGAGATGCCGGATGTTTTTTTTCAACCCTGACAATAGCTTTCATGCACTTTTGTGTTATGTAAAATTAGGATTTTTACTGCCAGAACAGAGGCTTTTCCTGCTGGATTATACAGAAGCAAGCCTATGAGACCAAGGGGTCCCCAGTTGTTGGTCTCATTTAAAATAGCAGTGAAACAGTATGGTCCCTGAAAAGCTGTGTATCTTTTAGCATTATCATTGCAGAGACACATAGCGATTACAGCCAGAGCACTTCACTTACGCCTAGGAAAACAAGCGAACAGCTCGCCTTTTCCCCTTCTGTCCTAAAAAAGACTTCTTTTTTTTTTTCCAAATAAGAAATTAAATTCAGAGACATAAAAAGCCACCTCAAGGGCTTGTCACCGGTGATGGCTATTATTCCTGTTACACGGACAGACTTCAGCAAAAAGGCCATGCAAAAATGATTTAAGAGCATCTGTCTCTGCCTTCTGCAAATGCCGCCCCAGCAAGAGGACAGGGGGCAGGGAAAATGCTTGAAGATGGTCAGTAAATATAAATACACAGCAGGCTTCACACCCTGGGGGAGAAATTACTGTCCCAGGTACATTTCTCCCCTTGCAGCCATACAACTGCTGACAGAACAACGAGAATGCTGATGCTGCAGGAGGAATAGCACAAGCCTCGGGAGGAGACCTCATTTGGTGGAAAAAGAAATAGTCGGTCCAGTGGCTAATAATTTTAAAAAAAGGTTGCCAAATTCAAGCTTCCTGAATTCTTGACTGGATTTTTCCAGTCGCATCAAGGTGGAAGTCAGAGGGAGCTGCTAAGCTCACAGTGCTTCAAAAAACAAGCTTTGTTAGGAAAGCATCCCCAAAAGGTCAGCCAGCAAGTTTAAGCACACCTTTAAGAAAGTGCTTCCCCCATTGCCCCTCCCCCCCATGATTTCTTATAATCAAGGAACTATCTGAAAAGAGATGGGCTTCAGTGATTACATCACATGAGCAAAAGCCTCATTTTTATACTCTTTCTCTGTATCCTTTCTCAGAAAGGGGAGCCAACACAGCAAACACTTTGAAAGAGATGAAGCTATGGTGAAACACCAAGGTTCATACTGAGAGTCACTTGAAGTGACTCCCAAGTGATCCAGTTACAAAAATACCCTTAACATGAAGAAAAATCAGGTATTGAAAGCCCTTAAAACACAATTTTCAGTACGTAGATTCCATCGGCTTTGCGGGGTGCTTTTAAGGATCTGCAAAGGTAAGCATATGGCCAAACAACAGGTTTGGTTTTCTTCAACTTGCATGCAGGTGTCTAAGACTCAGCTGGAAAAAGCCTATAAATTAACAGAGCTTGCAAACCTTTGCCGTGCAATATACAGACACCAGGTGAAGGCGTTATTGCACACTGGTAATCACAGCAGTTGGGTTGCCCCACACAGACCTGGTATACACTTGGATCACTAGCCAGAGCCGGTACTACTCCTCCTTTACCAGAGAGACTGAAGCTAGAGCAAGTACACAGCCCCAAGCTCCTTGCTCTGGTTTTGATGCACCCTGGATGGCACCAGACCCAAGGTTAGATCCAGGTTGAGAGCTCCCATGGTCTTAAATGCAGACACCCTCTAATGGTGAAGAGAAGCCCAGAAACGGGAGTATTGAGGAGGGATTTGGTTTGTTTGGGTTTTTTTTTTTTTTCGATTTTACTTGCAAGGAAATGCTAGGGCACACCAGCTCTTTGTTGCAGAAGCAGAGGCGATGTGATCCAGGAGCTGGCAGGCAGGCCGGGAGCATTGCCTCCTTGTGGTTACAAGTGCGCAGCAATGGCATTGCATGGAAGAAAACAAGCAAGCAAAGCCCTTCTGAGCTGTTGCACACAGACCCCACCACCAAACCTCGTTTGGCTCCGGTCATTTATGAGGCATCCTGTGCAAAAGGCACAAAAAGCACCTTGGCTTATGTTTGCACCCTCCCAAGCTAAAAATCAACTGCTGGCAGGTTTTAGGAATAGATGGAAAAAAAAGTCAAATCGATTATAGTTGTTTGTTTTTCCTTTTAACCCTCCCTCCTTACTGCGAGGCAAGTCCAAACAAGAACACCCTCTGAAAGACTTGAAATCCATGTCTACTCTTCCTCAGGCTCACCGCCTGACTGAATCCAGTAGCGGCTTTGCTCTCCCAAGCACAAAGCTGAGATTTCCCCTATCACTTAACCTTTGCCCGAGCTTTTCACCTGAGGTTCAACTCCTCATTTGCAGGTCTTGAAACAGACTCTCTGCCCTAGGGTGAGCTCACCCCAACAAAATCTGTTCCACAAAGAGGGGAGGAAACAGACTGTGAATTATTTTGCTTTTATCCTAAATAACCTCTCCTTCCTGTAAATGGATCTCCAGTTGCCGTTAACTCCAGGCCTACTGCACACAGGAGCTGAACCACAGCCTGCAGGAATCAATACCACTGACTCTAATGAGTTCTGAATCTTGCTTAGCACTCTGGGAGATACATCCCGC